TCGTGTTTTAAACTATACTTAAAAATTGGTTTCTGTGTTATGACAACGTCTTTATCAGGTAACAATAACATTCCCAAAATATTTCAAGGCAGCACTGCTTTCTGATTCACTTTGTATAAGTGCTAAAACATTTGTTTTTGATTTCTCACAGAACCCATCCATCTACTTCCTCAACACTACAAATGCATCAGTAACAACAAATGTTGGCGTCAGTGGTTCTAATGTGACCAACCCTGTCACGACATGGCTATTAAACACTACGCTCCTATTGGACATTGATGTCACTCAGCCAATCTTGTGTAAAACAGACCTTGGTGTCTCTAGCAAATGCAGTTTTAGTGAACCACCCAACCCTGTTTATGATGCAGTAAAGAAGACATGTTCTAATGTAGTACTTGAGGTATACGATTAAATCATCAGAGAGTTTTAGATATGCGTTTAGGGCGAACGTCAAACGTCAAAACTGATAATGTGATCACTGTTTTTTCTGAATTAACGCTCCGTTCTTTCGCGATTGTGTTTAAAATAGATCACTTTTCGTGCATAATCGCATCACTATTYCTTTCGAAGCGCTTTTACGTTTGTTTGGAATTTTGAGCATAAAAGCATAAAAGCCAATTTGACGTTTTGCTTTTGCAGTAAAYGTGAATCTAAAACTCTCTAATCTTWAATATAAAACTTGTGATTGTATCCTTGAACAGTTGAGAGCACACACTAAAGCATGAAGAGACTAACTAAATAGCGCTAAAGAGTGCAATATATTGAAGTGTAGATTAGACATTAATTAACAAATAAATTAAKGCTCAGTCGTGGTTTATACTCTCATAAACCACACTTTTTTGGCCAATCAGAGCGCGTGTTAGAAATCATCTATATGATAAAAGATAATGCCATACATTTATACTCCTAGGCACAGATGGTGTCTCTCAATATATACTGGCTSATTTCTTTGAATTGATTTTTCTATTATACGATAGGTTGAATATACACTTCAGTGGAACACATCCACAGACTTAACACAAGTTGGACTTCGGCTTGTTCTTGGTCAACTCTCTTCTGATAATAAGCTTCCAGTTTTACAGAAATTCTCAGTGAAATTCAAAAAGGTCAGAATATTATAATACTAACTGTAGCGTCTTCTTTTGTCAAGTAATGCTTTTTCTGTCAAGGTCTTTTACTGTTCTTTCATATAATTCTCTTCTCTATTCTTTTCATATTACTCTATTTATTTCCATTTTTTACTTTTTTCTTTCTTCTCCTCCTCGTCCATGTTCCATTATTTCTCATTAACTACATTGAACTCTACGCGTTTACTTCAGATTTGATTACTTCTTTCTTTCCTGCCGTGGTTACTTTTATCGTGGTTACTTTGCTCAMTTCTCTGTTCCTCGCTTTGAGCTTCTTCGCTTCTTTCTACTTTTTTTACACCTTTACCATAATGGCCGCCATCTAATTAACATAAATTTTTAAAATTTAGAATTTTAGTCAAAGTAATTACTAACAGCTGATAGGAACCTGTGCTAATAACAACATATAAAAGTTTGAAATGAAAATATTAAATTCTGGTGAAGTTATAAGGATTTAAAATATATCATAACACCAGAACGAGGCTCTAAAGGCCTTGGCTGGAAATTACATACATTTCTTTGTATTTTCATTTCGCCATAACTTTGATCGCATTTTAAATCCAGGGTTGTAAAACTTTCCAAAAATGTTTATTTCTGGTAGTGATCATTCACATGACAGTGACAAAGTTTTCACATACTGTATTTCATATTAAGAAACAAATAGACAGACAGCCATTAGTGGAAAATTACATACATTTCTTTGTATTTTCATTTCACCATAACTTTTTCCTATTTTGTCCAGAGTTCTAAAACGTTCCAAAAACGTTTATTTCTAATAGTTCTTTGATGTTACAGTCATAAAATATTCATATCTATTTTGGTAAAGGTGTATTTATTAGTTTTTGTTCATCCGAGATCCTTTGCGCGATTATCTCACATAGGAAATTCGCCATCCAGTCACAAAATGCAACATTGAACAAGAGACCATTTAAAAAACAAACAAACAAATGAGGATGAACGGGGGACTTTAATTCATAGTCTCCTTTGCTGACTTGAACATTCCCTTACTTTCATATCAACTGACATCTGCATTCATTCCACAATTTTATATTTCCCTCAATAATAGGAAGGGGCTGATGCATTCTCTCGTTCTGGTAACCCTGGTTACATTGTTGGTAAACCACTTGTTGCAGGGACTCTGAAAACTGACCCTTCATCAAAAGCGTATCCTTTTGATAAAATATGATTACATTACGTTCTATATAAAAAAACGATTTCAAGGATAAACCCGAGCACAGCATCAGTCGATTGAAGCAACTCCCCGAGCAATACCGCGGGAATTAACATTTTAAGTAACAATGCGCGTAAGAACTGTAGAACTCTCTATTGTTCTGCGGCATTGCAACTTCCCCACATACAAATGTCTTTGGTTTTCACAGTGATTATATATCAACCTATGGGTAACGCATTTTTGAAATAAAATGTGGATAAACTCTATTTTGAAACAAAGTTTCTTTTATATTAAAACCTCTTATCCAATCATAAGCACTCAAAACAATAGTCAAAAGAAGCTTCTAATTTGCTATGTTCCCCACATARAATTGCCTTAATATTGTAGCTAAAGAAAGCTTTCATGAAGTCGGAATCAGATATTAAATAAAATATTAGAAAATGCGCTAACTTGTAAAATTATAGCAGATTTTCTTGTTTTAACCAATGGGATGGATGGATTATACATTACACAATTAGCACCTTCTTGCATTCCTTTGCCGTTTGCTTCTATAGTTCTTACTCGGGCCATTACTTAACAATCTTAAAATCCTGGCATTTCTCCGGACCTTGGTTTAAAAAATGCGGATGAATAGTTCATTTCCTTTGATTCAGACGWTAATTCTCCCGCCTTCCCTTTTTAATTCCCCGACCCTCCAGGGGGTTGGGGGGCGGCGATCCAATACTCCAGTTTCGAAGTCATAGCGAAAAGCCGCTGCTTTATTTGACAACAGATTCTCCTGCGCAAAGACCTGACCAAACACAAAAGCGCGAAAAAATGGCGTTATTACAATAACCTTGAAAATTTGCATTTTCCTCAAGTAACCCTAACTAACACTGTATTCCCACAAGACCAAAGGTTTAAGCCTTCTGGGAATACAGGGTTAGCCTCAAGTCGGGGAAAATGTGAATTGTTAGCGCTATTGTACTAACAACATTTTCTCGTGCTTACTTTTGTGTTTGGTAAATTCTTTGCGTAAGAAAAATCTGCTGTCAAATAAAACAGCGGTTATTCGCTTTGAATAGTCTCCTTCACGGTTACCTGCGCCATCTTGAAAGGTAGCCGTGTCTTTGCATCGAAGCGAGACGACCGTTGAGCGTGCAATGATAGAAACCTTCTTTCACACCTACAGACAATTATTCACAGGTATCTATCATAGCACGCTCAACGGTTGTCTCGCTTCCATGTTAAGGCACGGCTACCTTTCAAGATGGCGCAGGTATCCGTGAAGGAGACTATTCGAAAATGCAGTATTGACTGATGCATAAGACATCCGCCATTTTGATACTTTCATCAATACCGTGATGCACTTCGGTCAAACACTTATGACGTCATTAGGCTAGGCGAACATGAGAATCAATTGCAAAAATTGTGTAAAGTATTATTCCCTGACCAGATATAAAACAGTGAGTACATTTCACTGAGTATTGATCCATCAAGCTGGCTGACAATCACAGGGCCATCATTAAATGGTTTATGTCATAACTCAACTGATAGGTTCCCTGTGGTATTTGGCGTGGACGTTAGAACTGGTTGTAATRTAAGGTAAAGTGCAAACAATATACTTGTGAAAGAGAATTATAAGTGAGGAACTTACCAAACACAAAGAAAGCACGAGAAAATGTTTTACGTACAATAGCGCTGACAATCTACATTTTACCCGAGTTGAGGCTAACTCTGTATTCCCACAAGGCTCATACCTTAGGTCTCATGGGAATACAGGGTTAGTCTCAACTCGGGGAAAATGCACATTTTTAAGGCTATTGTAAAAACGATTTTTTTCGTGCTTTCTATTGTGTTTGGTCAGGTCTTTGCGCAAGAGAATCTGTAGTCAAATAAAGCAGCGGTTTTTGGCTATCAATTCGAAACTGGAGTATTCAGTCATTTGTTTTAGGTTGTCATTAAGCACAAGCTCGTCTGCATGTCAAGTATTACAGGATACAGTACTCAATGTCCTTCTTGCTGGGGTCCCGTCGYACGTCGCTACCTTTGGTAACTCAGATGTAAACAAACCTGGTGATTGGGTCAAGATTATMAATAACAAACCTACACAAACAGTAAGTGCAATGCATGTTATAATTGTTTAACTTCAACAAAGCGCAGAAGTCAGTTGGTTTTACGGTGTATACATACAACTATTTCAAAGAACTTTGAGAACTGAATRCTGTCCAAGACAGAAGTGCATTTGTTGTACAGTAGTAGATTCCACGCAAACATCTTTATAAAATGACATTTCTAGACTAAATAGCTCTTCAGGAAATGTGCAGCGCCGCCATTTTGTACGACAAAGCATGGTGGTAGTTGTAGTCCTCGCACTTTTTATAGACCCCTAAAAATCTCTTTAAAAGCCGTTCTTATTCTTTAGTTATAGAAATGGCACAACTGCTTCCAAAATGGTCTTTAAGGAGATTTTTTATTTTATTTTTTTCTTTAAAAAGTTCAGGGACTACAACTCCAATCAAGCTTCGCTGTACAAAATGGCGTCGTTAGAAAATATCTTTATCATTACTGGATGCATTTCCTTTAACTTTCATTTTTTTTTTTTTTTTGTATTTGAATATTTATAGCTAGTCTGTCCTAAAATGTTTATATAATCTTAAAAAAGTTCATTGCAAAAAATAAAAAACTGGATGCAGTTTTAACAGTAGCTCAAGCTAATTATCTTTTCTCTGTTATTTTAGGTCAGTGGAGGCAATGGCATTTGCAATAATATGATAATGGGATTACACATTGAAGTTCTATTCTCGAACTTTGGGTTTTTGGCTAATCCACAACCAAAGGTGAGACGACACTTCGAAAAACGCACTGCGCACGCTCCGAAGTCTTGCGCAAAATCGCAAAAGTCAAGAAAAATAGGGTAAATAGGTTTCCTTATCACTGTGGAATGAAATTCTTATTTTCAACACCCTACTAAAGTATATAAATGTTTCTGTATATAAGAATAAATATATCTGCCTTCCATTTGTATAAACTGCTGTTGTTGTTTAAGACTTAAGCATGCGCAGTGCTTTTCTTCCCTGTGTTAGATGAGRCAACTGACATAAATAGGATTGGAAAAATAAAAAAA